TGTTCACAGTGGTCTACACAACAGTGAGACAGCCGCAAAGTGGCATACTCCAGCGTCAACAATAATACGTGCCCTCCCTGATTGACCTCATTCGTTCTTTGAATACATTTCAACAAAAAAGTTTTTAATTGATATTATTTTGCCTTTGATTTACATTGTACATAAATTATAATTTTCAAAGTCAACACCACATATATAAACATCAACCATCACATATATAAACATCAACCATCACATATATCAACAATATCAACAGTTTAATAGTTAGATTAAAAGTGACAATTTAGCCAATACGACCATTGTAAAGTATAGTCAACTGTCTTTCCGCGAACTCCTCTAATTGATACTTCGCTAAGATGACCAGTGTGACGTATGGTATGTGGCCACAGATCATTCAAAAGGTCCCACTAAACGGAAATAGCAGGTAGTCTTGATAAACATCGTTAATCTCCTTCACCGGCACCGCTTATATCTGAGAAGACAAAATCAAAAACCCAAGCAGAAAAAGATTGAATTCTCAATAACAATTCCATAACTGTCAATAAATTTGGTATAGCTAAATCATGCAGGACAATGTACATGTAAACGTAATGTAAACAAAAATAGCTCAAGGGTTGAGGTGGGAGGGTATTTCATAATACAAAAAATGAATCGGATACTATCATCACCCACCTTTCACTTTCTTTGATGCACAGAAAAAGTTGGATAACCCAGAAACATATAGTGACTAAGTACCGACACTGTATGGATGGATAAATAACTAGAGCAAAGCTCGTTGCAAAGCAACGAGTAGGTCTTCCGTCCTGTTTTGACCGGAAGTGACGTCAACAAAAGAAAACAATGAGCTCAGTCGTCTCCAGTCACTTTATAGTTTCAATTTTGCATCAAAACCATAAAAAATAAGCTATTTTTGGCTATTTCCGGTTTGACCGGAAGTGACGTCACCGGACGCATTTTGACGACTTCAATAGATTAAGCTTGACATTTTGAACAACTTTGCTTCTTGGACGTATTACAAATTCTCAATACTTTTTGAGATATCTGGAAAAAACTTTTGGCCCCTCTAGATCCCTTAATTTAGGGGTCAGCCCTTTTTTCGAGATATCATTTAAAAGAACTTGTAATTCTACAAAAATTTTGTTATATATGTTTTAACAAAATATTTTTAGTTTAGAAGATAAAAAGCTAAATATGTGTAAATTTTCGCTCTTTTAGGCGTTCTAATTTTTGACCCCTGTATAGCACCGTTTTGAATAGAGGAATCGAGAAACAAAACCCGCTGTGCACAACTTCAATCCTTCTATTGTGTAAAATCAGTAAAATTTCTGCTCCAGCATTTGCCATCTCCGAGCCTTTGTCTGGAAATGAAAGCCTATAAATTTTCGTTTAAAGGTAAGTAACTCAAAACCGGAAGTGAATTTTTAGAAAGCTAGACAAAATTCTGATAGAGTTTAGTAACGTCTATAAACTCTGAAAATTTGAGCAAAATCCATTGAGAAATGAGTGAAATATGAGGCCTCAAATTTGGCGTCTAGGAAAAGGAAAAAAAAAGAATAATAAGAATAATCTTAATCATCAGAATCAGTAGAAGGTCTTCCGTTGAAAACGGAAGACCCTAATAATATAAATTTATCATTTATCTGTTTTTTTTTTCATATATAAGAGGCAAACGATGACCTATAATGAAAGGGTAGAGCTTTGATAACGACACTTATTGTGAGATGAACTAAAATTATAATTATTATTAACATTATTAAAAAAACATCATTCATATGAAGTGGGTGTAATACGACGATTTGTATCAGGAAACTGAATTGATGCCGGGGATATATAAATAAAGTACGTATCAAATTCTCTGTTTTAGAATACAATTTTTTTTAACCTTCTCGTTTAAAAAACTAAAACAATTGATGGGTATAATGATTCCATTCTGCAGTAAGTAGTAATATTATTTTGAAAAAAGAAGATAATTTGTAATTACTTCGTGTTCTTAAAATTAATTTGGACAATTTTATGCAGATAGTTTATCATTTCTTTCTGTCCATCATGTTTAATGAATTCGAACTTCAAGTATATTTTGGAAATATTTTATATGAGAATTAAAAAAAAATGATAATAGAATTTTGATATTATAAGAAAAAATACTGACCATATAGGTCTTAATTCTTCCATTTTTAAACAAAGTGTGAAAAAATAGATATAGATATTTTTTGATATATAATTTATATTTTTACAGGCATTTTCTGGTTATATGTAATTAATCTCAATGATCTGGTTCATGCTGACGCATACCAGGATGCCAGGTACATGTTTTGAGCTATTGTTATTTTTATTGTAACGATAAATGAGTCTGACAAAGAACATCCAGTCACGGACAAATAATTAGCTATACAATGTAGAAGAGCAAAAAATTAGTAAAATTCAATAAATCCCTAAAAAAGTTTTAGGATGCAAGAATGAGGTACAGTTTCAATACAAATTAAGCCCGGTATTTTTCAAAAATATGAAAGTGATATAAGAAATTAAAATTCATTCTTTTTTAATCATAGGAATCCCATGTAGCAAGAATACACAAATCATTTTTCTCGTATGCCTTCCTAAATGCTAATTGTGACGTCATTAACTTGTGCATTTTCCCGTATTTTCTTAAAAAGGTGCAGAAGACATCATTTTTCAGTGGAATTTTCTTTCAGAAAACATACTCTGCAACCGTCGCCCTCAAATATTTTGAAATATGTGATTTTTCAAAGCAATTTACATAATATATCCAAAAATTGAAGCGGGCGACAGTGGCAGACACTATTTTCTAAAGGAAAATAAGCACAGATATGAGTCATTTTGGAGCTTTTCTGCATTAAAGTTCGAAATTTACCAAATTAGTGACGTCATATTTCCAGAATGGTCTTCCTTCATGCCATTTTCTCATATGATTTATTATATTTATCTACTCAACTATTATTAAAGCAAATTTGATAACTTCTTAAGAATATAAAATTTTTAGGGCACAATAAAGCCAAAACTGTACCGTCTTCTTGTAAATCTCCAGATTGCATAAATCCATCTGTATTCTGAAAGAAGAAATGAAAAAACATCAAAAGTCAATCGCCGATGTAAAAAAAAAATACAACCAAGATTTACGATTTATTTTTAAAAAGTGACACGTCCCCAATGGGTGCTTGATCTTGATTTTTACCCCCTTGATTGAATGTTTGCCTTTTTTTGTTTTTTTACTGGGGTGGCTTTTATTTCTTGCTTTTCTACTTCATCTATATAGATAATAAATCGGAAGAAAAAAAAAATTCAAAGTGCGTCGCAACATTGTATATATGTACTTTTCCTTAAACGTCCTCTTCCTTTACAAAGTTTATGATAAACCATTGCATGTAGAAAAGCATAGTAGATCTGATGTGCACCATTTTGACCCTGTGATTAAAAGGTACATGTTTCCATATTTAACTGCTTTTTGTAAAATAAATTAAGAATAATTTTTATTTCAGTTGTTTTTCATTTTTTCATACTGATGAAAGCAATCAAGATACTTATTTAGGCGATACTTGCTTTGAGATTTCTAATGAAACAGTTAACAGACGATATACAGGTAAGAATATACTGCTTTTGAGTATCGTCCTCGAAATGATAAATCTGTGTATAAAAAGTATTTGAATTCACTTTCTAGTTTTTTGTAGGTATAGACATTTACATCAAAGCAGCGGGTATTGAAAACATTTCTCCTTGTTCTTCTCAAGATATTCAACTGGAAACGATTCAGAGATATATTGTAGAAAATAAAACCACAAAACAATCACTGTGTAGGACAAAGTACACTGTATCCATTAAAGATAAGAATTGTGGAGAAAACATAAAAAATATTGTCTATTATTGCCACTATACGAAGCCAAATGCACTGTTTTTTCAAGGTGATATTTTGAGGATGGAATTTGATATTTGCAAAGAGAATTTGATTTAATTTTTTTTTATCATGCTTCTAAAAATTTTTTTTTTAATAATGTTTACATTTTTTCAGATTGTATGTCCCTCGACTGTTCCAGTATATGGGCGAAAGGTAGTTATTCTCGCATAACTGACAAAGTAAAAGAGCAAATTGGTAAAAGATGAAAAAAACAACTTTCTGTAGTTTTTTTTCGATCGCGAAGTTTTTTTAGGAAGTCATTACAACGTGAGTTCAAAGAATAAATAGAAAAAAATCTTGATGTTAATCTCTTACAGTTTTTGTTGTTGTTTTTTTTTAGAAACAAACGCAATTATAATGTCAGGATTTTCAAAACCTGCCGTTTTCGAGGATAAGTGGGGAGTTTACAACATACCAACATCCTACTGTAACATGAGACATCGTAAATTAGAAAACTGGTTTATTGATGAACATAAAAAGATTTTCAATATCACTTCGGGTAATAACTTTTATATATAGTCATAGTTTCTAGACACAGGTATCTGTTTCAACCTTCAAATGGAAAGAGGTAACGACGTTATGTATTTTGGCAATGGTTGTTTGTATTTTCGTTTATAAGCGAATTCTTTCTGTGTCATAACTTTGGCATTTTTGAAAGATATCTAATAATTGTTTTTCTCTATTCTGATAATTTTTCTGATTCGACGTTTTTTTTTCATTTGGATTTCAAAATTACTGTAATGTTAACGTTGTTTCAGCAAGTGCATGTGCTTTGTAAAGTTCACACTCGCAGACACGTCAGGTTTTAAACTAAAGGCCATATGTCAATTGTCAAAAAAATTACATAAATGATTGATTAGATATATGTTGGTTATGGATATGGGACATTGGTGTGTTTCAAGGTAAAAAAAAAATCATATTACATGTATTACCTTTGATTTTTAGGATTATATCTTTTCTAAAAATTATAATCATACCTTAAAGACCGGCAATATCTTTCTTTTGGTATGAATACTTGATATATTTAATTGTTTAATTATTGTTTGATTCCGATCCTATGTTCAACATATTCAGATATAGATCAAAGTATGTTATCAAGTTTGAATTGCAATGAATTAATTAAAGGGCAAAAACATTGTTGATAATATTATAACTTATTTTAGAAAAGAATTGTAAAGCGATCATAGGTATACATCCATTGCTTTCATGACATCATTGGCGATAAAAAAAATCCGTCTTTGCAAGACCATCTCTGTTTCTGCCAAGATTTGATGGTCAATATAGAAGGACAATTTTACGGCATATCCTAATTTCTTTATTTCAAAATTTTTGTTGATGATATTTTAGTTTTAAAAAATATTTATGCATATAATTGTACAAAAGAAACATCAGAACTACCTAGAGAAGAGAACTGTTTGCTGTTTGGAGTTAAAATTGGAGGTGCCGGACTACTCCTTGGGATTCTATCAACATCTTTTGCTTGCCTTCTCCTTAATCGATGTAAAATGAATCACAGGTAAGGATTGCTGGAAGCAAGACATCCTTTACCTATATTTCTAATTTATACGCTGTGCATTTGAATTTTTTCAATGGTACATTGTAACAACATTTCATTTAAATTGATAATCAAAGAAATACTTGTCTCTGAAAATCATGTTTAATAACCAGAATGCTTTTGTTGCTAATCAGTTGAATATCAAAAGTACACTAGTTCTGAAACAAATCATGTCAAGCTTTTATTTTCTAAGGATCAAATGAACGTGAAATTAGTTACTTCTACATATCACGAAATTTTGAGCATGGACAATCATTGTGTTTAGCACTACTGATACATGTATTTCGTGTAGAAGTGTAAAGGGAATAAATAAATACGTTTTACGTGTTTTATTCACTTGTAAAATATTCTGCAACAAATTAATTTGAATTTCTGATTCGAAATTAAAACGGTGACCTAAAACATCTGAAGAAAAAATTCTATTATAGTGGACCTTCAGATACGGTAGCCGGAAGCTTCAGTTTCCGACGATTTTTCATGGGAACCGATTTTTTTTTTTTTTTTTTTTTTTTTTTTTATACATTATTTTGTCTCATTTAGCCGGAATTCCGCGTTACGTATCCGGACGTTTTTTTTTCACTACAAAATATGAAATTTTATATTTTGATTCATTTATCCCGACGTTAATTATTTATTTGGTCTGTCAACTCTGCTAAAATTTCTTGATCTGTGTGTTACTTGCTGGAGAAACACTGACATGGCGGTTTGTTTTAAGGGGGCCGACTATAGTTTTCATTGCGCAATATTTCGCGCATCATAGTAAAGTGAAGCGTATTTATTGTTTTAATGGAATTTTTTTCGCTTAATTATTAAAACTAAACAAAATTAAGAAATTATAGGTATAAAAATATAACAAAATTTCAAATAACTGTTATTTTAACCGATTTTGCAATTGATAGGTAGGTTGACGTTGTTGCAGTGTGTTTTTGACGTTATGATAATCTGAACCTCTTAAAGAAAGGGGTAATAAAAATATTATTAAAGAAAAAGTAATAAACATACGCTGTTGTAATTTAAAACATAGAAATTTGAGAATATCTCCAGTATTTTTATTATGTTTTCATGTGAATCCATTGTGTACGTCATATTTTGTAAAACTCTATAAAAATAGTAAAATTTGCTAATTTTTTGCATTTTGAGATGCCCCCTCTGGTAACAAGACGGTAGAATTTTGTGTTTCTTACATATATTGTATAATATAGTATTACACATAAAATATTATTGTTTGAACAAAATGTCTATTGTAGTATTTGTATAATTTGCTTTAAAGTGCTAAAAATTGGCATTTTCCCATATAATCCTATATTAAATGTACCTGTATTTTGAAACGGTCTCTCAAAAACACCTGGACGGTAGATTTCCCCCATACTTTGCATGTACACTGAAGATACTGTAAGTTATATATGGTATAAAAATGAAGAGTTTCGCTATTGTAGTTTTCACACAATAAAACTATAGTCGGCCCCCTTAAAAGACGATCACCTCTGACCTATACTTTATGGATTACGGCAAGGCTAATAATATAATAGATAGGTACGCAGGAGACTCTCGCTTCTCTAACATGTATTTGAAACGTGTTAATTAAGGGAAAATAAGCCGAAATTTTTTTTCGTACTCGGCAAAAATATTTTTTTTACTGTAACAGTTAGAATAGAATCGTGTCATGGTTTTGTATACTGTATTGCTACTTACAGACATGACATCGTTTTTTTATGCGCAGTATTTTGTGCACAAAACGGATTCTGTGAATGGATGACATTAATAAAATCACTTTCATATAATAATTAATGATTTTAATATAAACAATGTTTCATCTAAAGACAATATACTTTTTTATACCCCCCCCCCCCGCTTGAAAAGTTAGTGGGAGGATATACTGTAATCGGTATGTCCGTCCGTCCGTCTGTGTGTACTTCCGTCCGTCTAGCTGTCCGTCCGTCTGTCTGTTACGCTTTGGGGTACCCCTCTCTTATCCGCTTTAAATGAAATTTAATGAATTTTTCACAGAATCTTTATTACACATTGCCGTTGTGGACCTCCTATTTTACTTTTTGATCCGACACATATTTTGGGTTTCCCGGCCACAGCAAATCATGGACTTAGCCATTATAACCATATGGGAGGCGGGAAGTATCATATAGTGAGCTCATTGCTCAAAGTACCTCTTTTTTTAATTTTATTTTAATCAGTATTGAGTGATATTAATATCTAAAAAGTATTAAAACATATTGATAAAAGCAATATTCTTCACAATTGCCAATGATACATGTTTGAGAGACTAATTAAGTAAATTCAAGCAATTCGGGTATCCGGACGCTTCCATATCCGGACAAATTGTCTGGGAACCAACGCGTCCGGATAAATGAGGCTCCACTGTATATGATATTCAAATATGATATTCAAACCCTGCTAAATGTACAACGTAAATTATACCTTCAAATCTACATGTATAGAGAAATTTTACAGACCACCATTTAATCAAACATTAATATATTCATATTATCATATAACTTGCTAAACATTTTACTTAACTCCATATATATATATATTCTTTTGACAGAAATGGAGAGATAATGTTTTATTCAAAACAAAATGACAATATGTTGTCTGAGACAGAACTGGATTTTGCATTCTGTTCGAAAGAGGGAGAAACCATGTATCATCATATTTCAGACAGCCTGGTTTGTTATTTAGGAAAAAAACTTTTTTCTCTCACTTTTGCTACAGTTCTAAAACAGCATGATTTTTTATGTTAAGTGGTATAAAAATGTCATTGCATGAGATATCTTTATATACTTGAAACGTACTCCAAATCTCTTGTTCAGAGTCCATTAATGGTGGAAACAATCCAGGGTGGTGCTGTTATTGATACATGTGATGACACACGACAGCAGCGTTGTAGTGAAAGTCCCAAAAGCAGTTCAAGTGCGTTCACAAACGTACACGTATCATCCTCATTATCAGTAAAACATGCAGAGAAAAGGACAAGTGAGTCAATTAAAAGTGATAGACCTCAATTCTATCACACCTTATCAAGGGATTACAAGGACAATTCAAGTAGTCAGGATTTTCAGCCCTGCAGACAAAATAGTTCCACAGAGAGCAAAAAGGATAGCAATCTTTAATGTGAATTTGTCATGTAAAGTATCTAATGATCACTGTACACGTATGAAGCCCTATATGTAAAAATCTTATACAGAACTACCTTAATGGACTTTTGCGAGGAACGCTTACTTTTACAGTTTATGGATTTTTTTTTCACTGGGGCAATGTACGGAAGCTCTTTTTCGATATAAATACTTAATTCAACAAAATATAACGCGTTATGCAGCAATATACCTTTATCACCTGCATACGGTGTTAATATTTCTCACTTTATTCGATACGGGAGAGCTTGCTGTATGTATGAACAATTTTCAAAATTATCTTTGAGGAAAACGACAACAATCTATATCTTCAGATAAGTCCCCCTTACAACATACCTTTTACCACTAGAAAGGTTTTCTGATCTATTATCAATTCTGTAAGTCATTACTTCTCGAAAAAGTCCGATAGTTGAACTTATATCAAATTTGATGCCGATCACATTTCCCACAGAGAATGTACCCCAGATATATCTCACTTTAAAAAGTGAGCAAAAAGGCACTGAAAAATTAATAACTAAAGAAAGAGACTTGTCATGTTAAGAACATTTGTTTTAATGGTGCAAATCTAAAAGAAACCATCATCGCAAAACAGCAAACGAGGAATACTTTTGTCTGATTTTTTATTTAAAATTAAATTTGATCATTTTACATTCATTCTAAAAGGAACCGTTCAGTCTATCCATGCATGTTGCACCCGAAAGATAATTATATCTTTCAATTTTTTGATCAATTGCAGAATTGTATGATTTATATTTAACTGACATCTAATACTTTAAAATCATTAATTTCCAATGGTTTAATTTTAGTTGTTTTCAAGGAATGAAGTCACCCATGAATTTACATTTATGTCCAACACAAAATGCAATTTTTCATTTATATTGCTATAGAACAACTCTTCTTTCACGAAATCAAATATCCCCATCAACAAATATATGTTCCGTACTGCAAAAATCTGACCCTTCGAAATTATTTGTTTTTACAGTAAACTTTTAAGATATGTGAAGGATTGATTTATTGTTTTATTACAAATGTAACATTTTCGCTGTTACAACAGCTTAATTGGTAGAGATCTCCCTCCTTGATTGCACTTATTTGAAAAAAAGTAGTAACTTTTCCTTTGCAAAGCCCTTGGCACTTTTAACAATGAATGCCGAGTAAAGCTCTTCACAGGAATATGGCGACTTCTCTATATAAGCTAAGAGTAATCAAACAGGGATGTAAAATAACAAACAATTACTAAATAAATCAACTCAATATTCACATTGAGTGGAAACTATGTCTTGATGTTTAAAAGAAGTCATATAATGTATTTTTTTTCTATGTTTTCAATGTAATTTTTTTCTGTTTTGATTTCAAATCATGCTTATCCCAATATATGTTTATAATAAGTAGTTGTTTTCACTATTTCATAATTATAATATTTGGATGCATTAGTCATGTTTGTTCAATTAATTCCTTTCATTAATGAAAACTGAACATGTTCACATGTATGCAGGCTACGGGGTTATGAAAAATGCTCCGTTGTGTTTGAAAGTATGATACATTACACATAAAAAACCAAGGACCGTACATTTACAACTTAAAAACACTTTCCACAAATATTAAGCACGATAAAAAAAGTTCAAGGTTTTTAACATCATAGGCAGCTCAGCTGTTCTTGCAATAAAAAAGAAGCTCGTAAATTTACATGTACCACGCTGGTCATAGGCCTGTTGCATAATCATTTTATTAAAAACGTTAAATGTTGTAAAATACAGATGTATACAAATGTACTATGAACTTGATATTAATAGATTGTTTGAGTTTCTAGACGATAATATCAACATGGAATTTAAAGTTCAGGTCTTCCAACAGTCTGTTGATTCTCCACGGAAACCCATTTTGATCCAATATAAGCAGTGTTTTCATATGAAGCAAAATTTATCTGAAAATTAATCATGACAAAAAAAAAAAACAAAATACAAAAAAAAAAAAAACACACATTTTAAACATTTTATACTATAACTTGACATTTAGAGATGTCGATGCCTTATTATCAATTACAAAAGTAATAATAATTCGCGAATGGACGGTTGATCAAGAGATCTTACATTGTACATTTCAACATCATAAAAATAAAGGCGAGTAATTTTATTTCGCGTGTGGTGCTTCACGCGAAATTACGCGATAATTAATTCCACGCGTATATTTAGGAATCTACAGTATTAATGAACGAGTCAATAGCTACTACCTTTATACTCTTCAACGTTAGATTGAATATTGATTTTCGTTTCTAATGTCGCACTTGCACAGCATTTAACGCTTGGGCCCTCAAATGAAAAAAAAAATTAAACTTGTGATGACCTTCTCTGTCCATCTTATGGTGTTTTGAATGATAAATATTTCCGGTTAGAAAAATAAGCAAAATTCACGTGCAATGCAAATACAAGTAGATTGTAAATACATGATCATTTTGATGAGATGACATTGAGCTATCTCCATAACAAGTCTAGAAAGGTAAATTGATCATAGAAGTGTTCTATAAAAAATCGCATGATAGTGTAAACACAATTACTATTCAGATTAATGAACGTCAAAAATATAATATTTATGGTGTGATGTACAAGCTATCTTTTCGGGTCTTAGCTCCATCATACATTATATTCTATGCACTCAATACTGAAAACAAATTGCTGTTCTTTAAAAAAGACTGCAATATGTGCACCAGATGCATGTGTCTCTTCTCGAAATTCAATTAAAGAAAATTTCTAGGTTTAGTGAATATTCATGTAGGTCCGTTCACACTGGTCTGCCTACTTTGACTACTTTCATAGCAAAATTGTTAAATTTTATCTCCGATTGGCCTATAGTTTTACCATTAACAAGAAAATCGGGCTATTTTGATACATATAACCCATAACGGCTGGAAATTAACATCTGTTCTAGATTTATATGGAGGAAATCTATATTGAAAAATAGATCTAAATGGTACACGTGTAGCACAGCTGTGTAGTGCGTAGATATTTTTTTCGGGGATCCCCCCTCCTTCACACAGAAAAATTGTTGCTACAGGCCTGAATCAAGCTGCATTTGGATTGCTGTATATCAAACTATTTTGCGATTCTTGATGTTCAAAACTATTGCCAGAAAAGACTTATTCTATCTTTTAAAACTAAGAACCAGCCGTTGAATGATGTTTTGAATTCAAGTTATTAAGTTATTTTTATACTACTTTTTAAAATGCTTGTGCCATAGAATCGCTGTTTAGTTTAAATAGAAAGTATATGTTTAAGAACAGCCAATGAATAAATACAATATGCAGATTTAAAAGCGAGATTTGCCAATGAAAGTGAATTATTCTGCGGGCAAGTTATCTCAGGGGCGAACTCCCTAGCATTCTCGCGATGCGTAGCCTGTCGTATGTACATGGCATCCGGTTTAAACTCGCTTATAAATTTTCTGCGTTGACCTTAGTGTCCACGCAATGAACCTGAAGCACATTTGCAGCTCTTTCTGCAGCAGTGTGTTTATAGAGGATTTCTTTTTTTTATTTTACAAATGCCGATAGAAATAATAGATTTTACAATTTAAGAACGTAGCAGAAGGTATGGCCCCAAAGTATATTCTTCACCTTATGCAAAAGAAAAGTAGTACTTTTATCTTGAACAATAGTAAGAACCATCTCAAAATCCATGATTTTACGATAGTGAATGCAATGAAACTTCGATATACAATTGTTTGATATGATTAACTATGATAAACTGTAATGAACATAAGTTAAAACTAATATATTTTTTTGCTAGAGAGTGACATCACACACATAAACCAATCAATTAATCGTTAATCTTATATGAAATATTCAAGCAAAGGGGCTGTACTGATTTTCAAAAATTAGGGAGGGGTGTTTCTTTTTCTAACAATCTTTAAAGTTTCATACCCTAAATTCATATCACAAGAATAATTTCGTTTGTAATGTTTTCTTTCACTTTATAAACACATGTATCTCATATATACCTCATTTAAATTCACGTGTTTCCAGGACTCGAAGAATTTTCGGGAATGTTCAACATTTGAATTATTAAAAGAAATATTTTTTCAACAAAAGTTTGCAATGCTAAACATGAAATTGTTTTTTTTTTCCTTTTGGTACATCATACCTAAAATATATACAAGGAAAAACCAACGAAACACAGAATCAAAAACGTACATGTAAAAGAAAAAATATTAAAAAAAAACACCTTTTAAGTACTAGTATTTTACACCCACATTATTACTAAATAAGTATAATGTAAACCCTGTTGAGGAAAATTTACTAGAAAAATTTTGAAGTTTCTTTTTTAATTGACCTTCGCTCTCTTTCTAATTAAAAAATTCGAATCATATTGATTTATCAATCCTCTACTTAGACTCTCTACGACAAAAGTTTGATTTTTTTTCTTTTTTATGACGTGCATTTCTACTAACACACAGTCATTTGTTATGACAACATCTGTTCTTTATGATACTTTTAAAACTGCTATATGGTATCTCAGATTTATCGTAATCAAATCGAATGTATAAATGACATTTTAAAAACTACGCAAAACCTGAAAATCATCAAGATTATTGTGCTGAAAATCATGCCTCGCTATCAGAGTAAGAATATACTAATTGATAAACTAAGGGAAAACTCATCAAAAATATATAAACAAGCATGATTACACGATAAATAGCTTTTGTCTTCAGGTCTCCTTGCAAGTGACTAAAAAAATATTTTTCTGAAAATCTTTGACTTTACAAGAACAGAATGTATTTATGAGACACTGATATCTGTGAAAGGTCATTGTTAAGGTTAAAGGTCGTCAGATGTAATTGAAACGCCAATTACAAGAGTTTTTAGTTAAACGTGCCTCAGAAAAGGTTCAATCACATGAACTGAGAAATGTTTTTAAAAATCTGCTAGTTCATATGTAGCTGGCTACTAGTAAATGACTTAAATTGAAAGTAAATCTACATCACACATATCAATTTAATGGAAAAAAATAACAACTATGATACAAAACGGCACGTAGATAACGGAAAGCATATTTCATTATCAAATGTATTGACTAGCAAAACAAAGATACGGAATATGTATTGAAATGAAAATGCATTCAATACGTTTTCTCTCTTGAAATAAATATGGTATTTAAAATGCATCCCGTTACTGATACCTACGTATCCTTTATCAAATTTTACTTCAGTTTTTAGATGCCAGCTTCTAGTAGTTAGCATTACTCAAACTTCGAAGAGTTTTAAAGTTAATTGATTATATTGAAGTCAATTACTAGTTGCCAGTTACTACTGAAGTAACTAGCTAATTTTACTCATTTGTAGAAGCCAGTTTTAAGTGACCATATACAATTAAAGAGTTGGGAGTAGCTTACATTACTCACTTCTTGCAGCCATGTAGTCTCTAGTAGCCAGTTACTACATGTAGTTGGAAAGATTATTCATGAAATATGTTGAGATAACTAATAGTATTCAAGCTCAAAAATCCATTTAACATTACAATATAGGACCGAAGCACACACGGACCTCCAAAACATTAGGAAGGATCAGGTGCC